TCACTGGAGGGATTAGCTGATGGAAAACCAGCAAGGATACCGCCCCCCACCACCGGTCCCTGACCTACCTTTATGGAACATTCCACACAGCGATGTCAGGGTACACATTCTTTTCTATCGCAACCGGGACAGTCACCAAGACAGGCCCTATCTGGGTCGCAGTACACCTTAACAAGTTGACAAGGATTAAAACATACCACGTATGCTCTGTGACCATGGCGGAATTAAACTGGAAATCACTAAGGAAAATGAAAAGATGACGTATCACAATATCTGGGATGAAGGTAAAATGGTGCTTAGGGGACAGTTTCCAGCATTAAGTGCTCATGTTGGGCAAGAAGAAAGGTCTCAGATCAATAATCGAGGCCTCTCCGTTAAGAAACCAGACAAAGCCCCTGAGTGGAGTAGCTCAGCTGGTTGGGCATCATACCACCAAGTGAAGGGTCCTCAGAAGGGTGTTTCTTCCCCTCTCTTTCTCCCCTCCCCTTGCTCTAAAAATAAATAGAATCTTTTTTTAAATAAGTGACTCTTCCCTGCCCTCCCTTACACTCTGAACAATGCTGTTTTATTCTTCATCACATGTGGTACCTGTAAGATCCACTAATGCCAGGGAAAGGCCACCGTTTCCAAGGCGGGACTTTGAGGAGACCGCGATGAGCCCTGGTCCCCCTGTCCCCAGGCAAGGTCCCGGGTCTGATGCGAGGCTGGCCTGCCAGTACCCTCGCTTGTTTTCCCAGGGAAACCCCACCGGGCCTGGTCTCCGGGCCCCGCCCCGCCTCTAGGTCTGGAGTCCTGCAGCCAAAGCCAGCCCTCCCCCAGGGGTCCTCGCCACAGGGCCCCTGGTGCCTCTGAGCCCATGGAAGAGGGGACAGAGCGAGAAGGGGTGACGCAGGGAGCACGTCGCACGGTGCAGGGTTTTACCAAACCGCTTTGGCAAACACTGAGAGTTTACACGGAGCATTCGTAGGCAGCGCCTGGCCATTTAGAATGACCCGGCGGATCCCTCGGTATAGGAGGTCGAATATAAATTTGGCTGTTGACAAAGAGACCCAGGATGGGTTAAGCAAGTTAGAGGTGTGCATCTCTCCCTCCTAACGGTACCACTGTAAACGGTCCAGGGCTCAGAGACCCAGGTTACAGGAAGGCTTCTTTCCCAGTTGTTGGTCCTGTCGCTCTCGCCCCATTGGTCAGGATGGAGTCACATGACAGCACTCAGCTGCAAGGGAGGCTGGGAAATGTAGTCCTTTATTCCGCACAGCCCTGTGCACAGCTTAAAAACGGGTCAACAGATGGCGAGGCAGAAGGCCCTACCATACCTATGCGAGCTCACTTTTCCTAAACGCTGGCGACCTTCAAACCCCCTTGCATGCCACCCCGATGAGAGTCCTCCTGATCAGGAGCCCTGGAGGATATAAAGTTCCTGTCCCTGGATGTGACCTGGGCACTCTCACCGTAGGACATGTCCCAGGGGAAGGCAGGCTGCAGGGGCCCCACGCCAGGAAGACAGCAGGGCAGGGGTCCACATCTCACTCCCCACCCCCTGTCCCTACCCCTGACTCATCTCTTTTTCTTCCCTCTGCGTCTCGGGATGCCCAAGCCAAGCTCTGGGGAGTAACATTTAGGGAGATACTTTCTAACATTCAAATACGAGTTTGGGGTTAGGGAGGAGGGCAGGGGGACAGAGTGGAAGGCTCACCATGGGGAGAAACAGAGCCATCCCGAGGTTCACCCGCGCTGTCATACCCAGGGAGCAGCGGCCAGCCGGAGCTGCCCCCCCCCCCCCCCCCACCCTTGCTGCACCTCCCCAGCAGAGCAGGCAGCTCAGGTGAGTTGGGGTCTGGGCCTTCACTGGGCCTCACCCTACAGTAAGCTGCCGGGGCAGTCTCACCCAGAGCAAGAGACTATGACAGCCTGTGCCCACAACAGCAGGAAACCTGAACCTCGTCTCCACCCTCTCGAGGCTGAGCCACCTTCAGCGACAGCAAACGCCCCCTCTGAGCTCAGCGTACACAGGAGTCAGCGGCCCAACTCCCCCCGCTCGGGCTCTTTGAGCCAGACCTGGGTCTTCCCAGCGAGAGGTGTCCCTGAAGACACGTTTCGTTTGAATGCCTCCTTCAGCTAGAGTGGTGTGTGCATGCAAATTACCTCCAATCTCCACCTCGGGGACAGTGCCTTAGTACTTGAAATATCCTAGTAGGGAATCCACTCTCCAGAAGGGTTCACATTAGATTTTAAATATACACTGTTATTAAAATCTACACCACAGAGTCTTTTCATGAGCAAAAGGATGTTAGAAATTATTTTGCACAAGAGAAGTATGAGGTGATCATAGTCTTCGCACCAACAGGCAAGAGAGCTCAGCCGCCTGAGGCCTTCAGAGCAGCGCCCTGGCTCAGGGCCCTGGGGGTCCTGGTCCCCCACTCCTGGGGGGGTTTACAGATATAGGTGTATGATTGTGTCTGCACCTGCTCGTTAGTAAATATTTGGACATTTGTCAGAGTCAGATCTGCCTCTCCTCTTTTTTTTTTTTTCTGCAAGATAGGGGAAGGGAATGAGAAAGAAAATGTAGAAACACTGGTGAGAGAAAAACATCAATTGCTTGCCTCTCCTACACCCCAGAGGACCAAACCTGCAACCCAGGCATGTGCCCTGACCAGGAATTGAACTGGGGACCTTTTGCTTTATGGCACGATGCCCAACCCACTGAGCCACACTGGTCAGCACAAGGTCTGCTTTTGTTGTGACATTTCATTTGGTGGCACAGTTGTTGAGAGGGTTAATGGAGCCATTGCCTGCCTCTGAGTAGGGGTTCCACACTTTTAATCCTCACTCAAGGATATGTTTATTGATTTGAGAGGGGTGGGGGGAGAGAGAGAGGGAGAAACATCAACTGCCTCATGTACGTGCCCTGACCAGGGATCGAACCAGAAACCTTCTGGTGTACAGGACAATGCTCCAACCAACGGAGCCACCCAGCCATTTTTAGCAGAAAACCCTGTTGGTGAGAACACATGCCCAAGGTCAGGTGGCAGAGCCTGGCTGGGAACCAGGTCTGATTCTGGAACCTGTACCGCTAACCACTGTCCCACACTGCCTTCCCACCTTGCCTTCGATTTGCTCCCACGTGTCTCAGCCCTGCCACGGCCAGGCAGGAGGCCGTGGCTGCTGCAGCCCCAAGCGGAAGGGACGCCGGGCCCTCCAGCTTTGTCTCGCAGGTGGAGCTGGTCTGACAATTCCTTTCACAAAACCAGCTCTGCAGGGTGACCCATTTCTGCAGGGGGCGGCTGGCTCGTTCTCACGCTGGCTGCTTGACCGCATCAACCTGTACGTTCACACGTCTCTCGAGAGCAGTAACATGTTTCTCACTGGCAGTCATGCACTCGAGGTGACATTGCCTTTATTGTTCTCTGACTGAACGCTTCCTGAGCAAGCTCCGGAAAGCGGGCACCACGCCTCCTCTGAGCCCCCCTCTCCGCAAACGGGCCCAGCACGTGGCAGGGCCCCCACGCATCGAGCTTGGTTACTTGCACTCGGTTACTTGCCTGGTGGGGAAAGAGGAAACCCCACCCAGGTTCCAGGTTCCAGGCCCTGGTTGGAGGGTGGGGGGAAGCATGGCAAAAGGCAGGCTCACAGCTGCCGAATCACGGGGTGCCACTCTGAGAGCTCCCGCCTCCCCTCCCGATGCACCCCTCCACGCGGTGACAAATTTCTGGGTCCTCGGTGCTTGGCCTATCACAGCAGCAAGTCACACGCAGGTGAGTGGATGACTAGCCTGACTCTGGCCAAATGGAGGCAGCACCCGTCTTTAGGACCCAGCGGGGTGTCCTGCAGTGCCTACAGCTCTCCAGGGGTCTACGGCGTGGGCCCCAGACAGTAGCATCTGCAACCCTGGAGGTGAGGCTGGCGACGTGGGTTTGACCAAGCTTCCGGGTGATGCCGGCACACGCGATTTCAGAACCACTGGGCTAGGCCAACTGTTTCCAACCACGTTAAACCTTTAGAAAAGCCCGTCCGAGGCCCTGGAGAGATGAAACAGGCAGGCACGGAGATGCTGGGCGGGACCCAGGGGTGCAGGGCTCACCCTGCTCCACTCCCGGCCTCCTGGAAACGCTCCTCGAAGTGTTCTGGTTGCACCATTACCCTGAAGGCTGCCCCTTTCTTTGCACGTTCCTTCTCTTGGGGAAACTGGGAGGACAACACCAAAAGCGAGGAGAGAAAGGGTGTCACAGGAGGAAGGAGAAACCTCAGACGAAGTGAAAAAGGACAGAAACAGACAAAGCAAAGGCCCACACAAGGGAGGCAAGGACAAGTCAAGAGGCGAGTTTAATTGGTGCGACGTAGACGACATACAGAGGAGCTCGGGGTGGCCTGGGCATGCGGCATGGCGCCTGTCCCCACCCCCACCCCATCCCCCACCCCACCCCACCCCATCCCCCACCCCGGCCCCTGGGCCTCACCCTGCCCCTCCCCCCAGAGACACACACCGGCAGACTCAGACAGGACAGTGCCCCAGAAGGAGGCTCAGAGGGGGCTGGGGAGGCAGACAGAAGACAAGCACAGACCGGAAGCACTGCCTTGTTCCCTCGTTTGGGTAAAAGCTGTCCAAATGCCATCCAAAGTCACCGGCTCCCAGTGGGGGCGCCATGAGGATGCAGACCCCCGTGCTGGCCTTTCAGCTCCGCAAGATGCTTTGGTGATTGCACTCACTTCCGCTCCCACAATGCCCCTGTGAGGTGGGCTGCACAGAAATCCGCTCTTCTGTCTGAGGGATGGGGAAACTGAGTCCCACAGAGCTGAAGCGACTCGCCCAGAGTCCCGGGGAAAGGCCCCGGTCACTGGGTCAGACTGGGAGCGTGTGGCCCCCCCTGGGGCTATGGGCCACACTGCAGAGACTTGCGGGAAATGCAGTGTCTGAGCCTGGGGCCAGGGGGCCACATTGGCCAGTCCTGAGGAGTAGACAGAGCCTACTAGATGCCAAGACAGAGATGGGACCAGCTGTTTATTCAACAAAAGCCTTTTATTCATTCAAAAATCAACCATTGGGTTTATTCTGCAGATATTTAAAAAAAAAATTGGGGGGGGCAAGGCTCCTTGTCAAAGTGCCCTTATGCTAATTCCCTTGTTATCCCTGGGCTCGCCTGGAAGAGGGGCACCTGGAGAACCCTGGGCGGGAGGCCCAGGGCTCAGGGGTGATCGCAGCCCCTTACTCACACCTGCCCACCATCTGCAGCCTCCCACCCCCTGGAATCACCTGTGTTTGGCCGATTGAAGCCCCTCAAATGCCTTTGCAGCTCACCGCCACCAGGGGGCGCGCCCGTATTCTCTTGGATCCCTTAGAAGGGGAAGCTGCGGTGGGAACAGGGAGGGTCCCCACCAGGGCACGGCCTTTCTCCAGGGAGAGGCTGCCTCTCCCAGGGAAACTCCATACTCCAATTTCTCCCCCCCCCAACACACAGAAAGAGACAATGTCCCAGAAAGCACAGGTGCGCCTGTCATCTAGGTCACTGGCTGTCAAAAGCATTTCAGGGAAAGAGAGGGACACAAATGTTTGCCTTGACCTTACCCTCAACCTTGCCTGGTTAAACACTGGGAACTTGTGACGTTCTCCATCAACACAGAGTGGGGGGCAGATGCTGCAAGGAAGGGGCTGGGCCAGCTGCCTGCGGCTGCACCCTGCATCCTGGGCCCCAGAACCTGGTCCCCTGCTGGCCTGGGGTCCCCAGAGAGCAGCATCTCACGGGGCTGGGCCTCGGGTAGAAAAGGGTGCTAGGGAGAGAGGCCCCCAGGCCGCTGTGGGTTCCAAGGTGCCACAGCTGAGAGGTGGTGACAGACCTGTCCCGGCCTGGCAAACTCAGGCACCAATGGCCAGTGTCCAGCACGCTGCCAGGAAGAAGGGTGGCCCTTTGGGCAGCTCTGAGCTGTCTCAGCATGTACCCAGGGCATGCCTGAGGCGTGGGTCCACAGTGCCACCGGCTAAGGCCAAAAGGCGTGCCCCAGGCTCCAAACCAAAAGGCCAAGCCACCACCCGCAAGGCCCTGCCTGCCGACGCTCTGTGGATGTCTGCCAGTCAGTCAACTGAGGCCTCGGCCTGAGGGGCCCACATGCTGAATTAACTGTGGAGGACGCTCAGCCACAGTCCTTCTCCCATGACGCCTCTCCCGGGACAGGCTGTCCATCAGCATCCCCTCTGCTGGACCCGAGCAGCAGCCAAGGCTCAGGCAGAGGCCAGAGAGCCACCTGACCCGGGAAGGGCCCCTCTCTCCTCCCGTCTGACCCCAAGTGGCCAAGTTTGTAGGGTCTCAGGTCAGAGCCAGGTGAAGGAACTGCACAACTTGGAGGTGAGTCCTGGGCCTCCTGGGCCAGTGGCCTGAGCAGAAAGGTGACCGCAGGGGCTGCGAAGAGCCCAGCCTTCAAAGTCACCTGTGAATGTGGACCTGCTGCTCCTGTCCCCACAGGATCTGGGGGGCTTAGGGTGGGGGCATCGTGCAGCCAAAGGGCCTGCACGTGCAAGAAGGGTGGGCGCTCGGGTTCGGGGTGCAGCCCCACCGGCAGAAACCTCTCTCAAAGGGCGTCCTCTGGGGAGGGTCCGTGGTCTGGGGGCTAATCAGCAGGAGAAGCTCCGGCCTCCTGGGAAAGTGCAAAGTGGAGACCAAGGGCAATTCAAAGTGGGAGCGAGGCCAGCGCCGCCAGCTCCGGGGCTGGGAGGCGCAGGGAGGCGACAGGCCGCTGGCTTTGCAGAGTCGCTGCAGGAATTCTAGACTCAGGCCCAAAATAGTCTGGGGGGCTGCTTGTCACCCCAGCCACCTCCTCTGGGTGAGGACCAGTTCTGGGCCAAAAAGACAGCCCGAGAGTCCAGGAGGGGCCAGGAAGCACTGCAGGGAGGGACACGGTGTGTCGTCTGACCCCACACACCACAACCAGCAGCTGCCATGTCCTCCAAGACGTGTGACAAGAGACAGAACAGTGACTCAGACGGTCCCCGTGTCTGCTGGGGTCTGGCACTCACAGCCACAGACCACCGAATCACCACGTGCAGGGAATTCAGACTTAGAATTTTATGATGTCAGAGTGGAGGGGGCATTCCACGTCAGTCAGCCAGGCCCCCCGGCTCTGCCACCGGGCAGCTGGGGCCCGGAGAGGGCAGGGGGCGGCCCACCAACTCAGAGCCACAGCCAGCCTCGGGCTCCCAGCCTGGGGTCCATGGCCGTCTGACTTCCCTGCTGGCAGTGCTGGGGCCGTCCTTTCTGGGGACAAAGCTAACACCCTTCCTATGAGCACAGGTGGGACACGGCCTGGAGGAGCGGCTGCCACCCGGACAGGATGACCGGCACCCTTCTCGCCCCCCTCCCAGCGTGCGGGCCAGGCAGACAAGCAGACAAGCAAGAAGGGAGGGGCTGACGATTTTCCAAACCCACCCGGTCTTCGCAAGCTCACTTCCTCCCTCCTCCCTCCGTACCCACCCCCTGCCTGGCTCCCGGCCCCAGGACGAGCCCCTCCATTCCCTGCGCTGCCACAAACACCAAAGCAGGAGCTGAGAGACGGGAAGATGTCCCCCGTGCATCCTCAGAAAAGATGTCGTAGACCCAGAAGAAGACCCAGGACAGGCAGGGCGTGGACAGGGAGCAGAGGAAAGGGGTGGAAGGAGGGGCATTCCAGGCTGGAGGGAACAGTGCATCAGCCAGTTAAGAAGCCCACCTTTCCCCTCTCCAAACATCAAGCACAGTATCTGGAGGAAAAAAAAAAAAGAAAGTTTTTGGCTTCTTGGCCGCTGCTGGCCACCGTCGTCCCAGGCACGGGGGCAGGCGGGTGAGTACCACCTACACAGACGGTGGACCACGCATCCCTGGAGCTTCGGACACAGAGGCAGCAGCAACAGTTAACGACCAATAAATAACAGGTATCAGTTACATATGTATATAAAAAAACAAAGCTCACTTTCCCCACAAAAAACACAATACTGTTATCAGAGAAAATCGTCATCATCATCACGATTGACCCTCCGGGACGGGCAGGTGGTCGGTGGCTCGAAGGCAGGTCGACATGTAACGTCCACCAGGCAGCCCCGGACACGCGAGCCCACCCGCAGCCAGGCCGTGACTTCCGTGGCCTCTCTGGTGGTGGAAGGACAAAGCAGAGTTCTCCGAGGTCCGCGAGGCCTTCTTCCCATCTGTCAGTCTGAATCTTCTAGAATAGAAGGACGTGGGTTTTTTTTTTCTCAATGTCTGTTTGAAATAAAAAAACAAAAGCACACGCGCGGGGGATCTGGGGGCCGGCTGCTGCCCACGAAGCAGCTGAGTCCTTGGTTTTGCAGAGGGCTGGAGCCTTTTCCGTTTCATGTTGTTTTCTGGACAAGCAGAGGTTGTTGGCAATCGGAGCCAGTGGCTTCAGGCGGCGGGTGGGTGCAGGGCGGGGGGGCGGAGGGGCCTCGCCGTCCGAGGCAGCCCGGCCGGGTGTGGGCGCGGAGAAAGGCTGGGTGGACACAGGAGGGCGGTGTCAGGGCCGAGGCGGCCTTGTGGCACGGGAGGACTCGGGCGGTTCCCAGGCATCTGGAAGACACAAGGAGGCGAGGCAGGCTCGGTGCGGGCTCACAGGGGCGTGCACAGAGCGGCGGAGAGCAGCGAGGGGGCGCACTGGCCTGAAGTCGGAGGTCCTAGCACTGCGCACACCCTCCAACCCACCCAGGTGGCGGCGCTGGGTATTTACCCTTCGGAAGCGCGTGCGCTGTTCCCTACGGTCTCGCCCGCAACAGCGAGATGAAAAGCGGGGAGCAAGCCCAGGGCACGGGGTGGGTAAAGGAGGACGTCGCCACGGGATGAAAACCAGTCTGCAGCCACTAAGAACAAGGTGTGGAATGGCCGAGAAGCACGTGGGAAGGTGTCCAACAGGACCGTCACGAGGAAATGCAAATCGAAACCGCAGGGAGACACTGCGTCCCGCCCACCAGGGGGCGCTGTCGCCAGAAACCGGAAAAACACTAGTGCGGACGGGGGTCGGGGCGGTCAGAGCCCTGCCCAGCGCTGCTGGGCGCGGGGAAGCTGCAGCCTCCGGGGAAGCCGGTTTGGCAGCCGCTCAGAAAGTTAAACAGAGCTACCGCACACCCAGCCACTCCACCCCGCGGCATCCACCCGAAGGAGTGGAAAATAGGGCCTCAGACGAATCCGTGCCACCCATCTTCCCAGCAGCGCTGTGCACAACGGCCGGAAGGCGGGAGCGACCCGCCCTCCCCCGAGGGTGCCCACCCGAGGGTGAAGGATGAAAACGCCGTGGCCCGTCCGCACACGCAATATCACTCAGCTGCAGAAACACATGAAACACCGGCACCCGCGCCCCGTGAAGAACCGCGAGAGCATCACGCTGAGTGAAAAGAGCTAGACGCAAGTGGGCTTTTTATATGAAATTTCCAGAAGAGGCAAATCTACAGAGACGGAAAACGGATCAGCATTGGCCAAGGGCCCAGGGGGCGGGGGGATGGGGAGAAAGGCGGGCGGGGGGGGGGGGCGTGGTGCTGCAGCGCTGCGAACATTCGAGAACGGGCCGGAGGCGGGGCTTGCACAGCTCTGAGAATGTGCTCAGTGCCCTCGGGTTGCTCTCTTTAGGAGGGTTAATTATGTTTTGAGGTTACTTCATTAGGATTAAAAGGCCGTGGTAGGATTATATAATTTCTGTAAACTGTTTATAACTTCTTTTAAAATTATTTTTATGTTTCTATTTTTATTTTTTAATTGTATTTTTTTCCATGACTAATTATCCCCCCCAACCCTCTTCCACCTCTACCCACGTCCCTCTAAAATGGTTACTGTTACATCACGGGAATTTTACATCAATAAATTAAGAAAAGGGAAGCAATGGGGGGGACAGTCTGTTAGCGTCTGCGCTACCCACAGACTCTTCCTGTAACCTGCTCCGCGTCCGCGTTAACCTTCCTGTCGCTGTCCCCTCCCCCACACTGGGCAGGTGTCGGCGTCTAACCCGGAGCGGGCCACTCTCCTGACTTACGGGAGCTGACCTGACAGCAGTCTCCGGGCCAGCCAGGAGCCATGCGCAGGTGGCCCTGGAGGAGTCAGAAGGCCCCGCAGGACCCAAGTTCCGGTGGCCACCTGGCTCAAGGGCAACAGGCGAGAGAGGACCAGAGCAGCTGCCCGGAGGGAGGACAGGGCGCCCCCAGGGAGCGTCCCAGGGCCTCGCAGGCCTCCAGCGCCCCCTGCCGACCCCCGGCGGCGTGGCTGAGTTTCCAGCCACATTCTTCACCGGCGCCGTGATCTGTGAGCCGGGGAGACGTGCTATTGCATGCCGCACGCAGGACGAAGCTCAGTGAATGCATTTAAATCCAGAATATAAATATATATTTTTAAACTTCACTGGCCACCTCTAAAGGATGTTAGAAATCCAACTCATTTGGAAAACTGGTAAAAGAGAAAGAATCAAGACTGCCTCCTGCCTTTCCGATGAAAAACTAGGACTCGGGCTTAGCAAACAGTTAATACGGGGAAGTTTGCCTTTGTAGGAGAGATGCTGCTGCTAGCAAGGACGAAGGGAAGGCTGCATAGGGCGCCGCCATTTTGAACCCCCTGTAAATGAATGAATGAATGAATGAATGGCAGAGAAGACCATCAGGGGTGCCGCCTGGTGGACACACACGACCCCACCCACGCAGTGTTCTCGCCACAAATGGATCACACTGAATGCCCAGTAGGTCTAACAGCCCATTTCCAGGAAGAACGGAGAACAGAGGGTTGGGTTAACACCACCACAGGGCGCAACCAGCAAAGCCCACACCGCAGAAGCTCGACAGAATGTGTCTCTGGGCAAAATAGCAAGAAAAAAAAAAGGAAGAGAGCATCTTATAGATGAAAATAAACATAGCAGGTGGACTTTATCCAGATGCTGATTCCAATAAACAAAGTGAAAAAAAAATGGGGAGGTAACAAGAAGCTGGAACACCCCAGCCCAAGACTGCCAAATGTTAAGGACTTAACATGGATTTTTTTTTTTGTATTATAGATTGTTTCAAGAACCGTTCCTTTAGAACACATTTGGAAATATTTATGTATGAAATAATATGGTGTCTCAAATTTGCTTCAAAATACCCAGCGTGGGGGTGTGTGTGTGGGAGGGCAGAGATGGTGCAAGATTTGGCTGTGAGTTGGTGATTCTGAAGCCGGGTGATGGGTACACGGCGTTACACTATTCTCCCTACCACTGTGCGTGAAAGCTTCCAGAACAAAGCAGCTCTTCCATCCGCCCCCAAATTTTCCACAACTGAAGGGTGCCACACCACAGGACCAGTTCAGTGATGGTGCAGCTCATTTCTAACGCAGCTGTGATATGCGCGGCTATTAAAAAGGAGAGTCTCAAACAACCTTTGCCCATGCGGAAGACACGTCTGATCTCAGCCCCCGAATAATTCAGTGAATTCTATAATGGTAATTTATCCAGGAATTATGAGACGTCGGGAATCTCGGAAGGCAAATAAATCACAAAGATGATAGAATGCAAATTAGATGTAATTACTATCTAGTAGGTTCTGGAAAAGCCTTCGGAGAAAGGAGGGGGGGGCGATGGGGAAGAGCTATAGAAAGCTGGGTCTTGTCACTCTGAAAAGCTTGTCATGGCCATGAAGTGACACCTTCTTGGTCGACCTGTTGCTGCTGAGGGCAAGACACACGTCTCCACAAATCGTGTGGACTCTAAAGTTTATACAGAAATGCAGATAGCCAAGAGCAGCCAAGGCGTTCTTGAAAGGAAGTGGTGGCCGTCACCTCCCAGATGAGGTTATAAAAAGACTGCGGCTTTCACCTTGGGTTCGCTCTCTCCCTCCCTCCCTCCCTCCTCCCTGGGAAGCTCACCCTGAGAAAGGCCACCAGCCAGGGTGTCGGGCCACCCTGTGCCGCAGTCCACAGGGCGGGGGACCGAGGCCGCCAAACCGAACGAGGGAGCGAGGGAGTGGGTCAGCCCGGCCCAGCCTTCAGGTCAAACTGCATCCCTGCCCACAGCTGATGATCAGCCCCGTGTACCTGAGAGTGGGCGGGGAGGGGGGTGTTCCTGGGGCAGGGGACTTTCAGTGCCAAATCTGGGACAGTCCTAGGCAAACTGGGCTGGTCGGTCACCCTGACAATGGCTTCACAGCACGCACATGCGAGACCCTGAACCACGGCTGACTTGAGGTTACACAGCGTGAGGTCACACAGGTAACTGAGCCGGCACTTCGCCAAAGGGGACGTCAAAATGGACAACGCCCCTATGACAGGTGCCCAACGTCCGTGCGCACCAGAGAAATGCAAATTAAAGTCACACCCACCAAAACGGCTAAAACGGAAGAGACACAGAACGCGCAGTGTCGGCGAGCAGGCGCAGTGACCAGAACACATGCTCACCGCGGGCGGGAGTGGGATACCGTCCGACCGCGCCGGGAAACTCTCCGCTCACGTCTACTCCAGCTCAGTGAACACACATCCCACGTCCTAGCACCTCTGCCCTCAGATCAATTCCGAGAGAGCGACCCGTGTGTCCACAGAAGGTGTGCCCAAGAGAGTTCACAGCGGGGCAGAACCTCCGGGGGGTCCTGCACTCCCCTCCCCCAGCCAACAGGGGGCACTGTAACAGGGAAAGACGGGGCGGAGGCAGGAGAGGACGAGGAAGAGAAGAGGAAGAAATGAGGAAGGCAGCTCTCCGCCAGCAGCAGAGGCCCCGCAGTGGGCGCACTGTCCTTCTGCGCCTGCTGCAGATCTGACTGCGAGGCACGAGAAACTGCATCTGAGCTACGGATCAAGAGGGCTGGGGCTCGCCTGGCCCCCCCGGAGAAGGGATGAGCCACGGCTGCTCTCCCCGGCCCGTCCTGGCTGAGACCTGATGGTCTGAGTGGGTTCAGCCTAGGGAAACTTCTCTTCCAGCAAAGCCTCAGGCCGAATCTGGGCACATCAAAGGGACAGAGCAGGGGGGCTCTGGCTGACCTGAAGGCCCTGCTTTCACCAGCTGTGCCCACCCCGGGCAGACCCCACGTTGGGCAGGTACTTATCTGTCGACCCTAGGTGTCCCGTGGTTGGGGTCCCTCCCCTCCCCTCTCCCGCTCCCGGCCCGGGGGACCCCTGGGCTCACCCCAGCTCTGGGCCTGGACTATACCAGCCCGTCGTAGAGGGACAGCGCCTGGACGATGGAGGGGTCTGCCTTGGAGCCCTCCTGGAACTCCTGCAGCGTCAGCTTCCCGTCGGCGTTCTGCAAGCAGAGAGAGGCGGCGTCAGGCAGAGGGACGCCCAGCTTCCCAGGACAGGCGTCTCCGGCCCGGACCCTGGCCCAGGGCTGGTCCCAAGGGGGCTCCCGAAGTCAGGTCCAGAGCAAGGTGGCACGCCTCACTAGGCCAGAAAAGTCAGGCGTCACACAGGCCAGGCACTTCCTGGCTGGATGACCTGGGCGAGTGACCCTCCCCCTCTGCGGGTCCATTTCCTGCTCTGGGGACCGGAGATGACCGCATGGCCTCCTTGGGGCATGGGGGTGGGCGCTGCATGAGCCTGAGCTGTGTAAAGTGCTTGGGAGGTGCCCCGCAACCCCGCCGTTGTCCTCGTCACCGCTGTGACTCCCTAAAGGGCAGTCGACCCCAATGCTCAGAGCCTCAGCATCTCGCTGGGTCACTCTCGGGGGGGCACTTCAACGGCTCCTGGAGCAGCCTGCCCCGACCCCGGAGACCCGGGAGGAAGCCGGCGGGGTTCATGCCAAGAGGCATTAGTGGGTCTCCTGGGGGAGGGGGTGGCCTGGGCCAGAGTCTCTTCCCTCGGGGCATCTCTCCAGGAGACCCACGAGAGTGGGGAAAAGGCCTCGGAGACCACCCGCCCCACCCCAGGGGGAAGCACGCCGAGTGGTGCCCCAGCACAGGTCACGCTCTCGGCTCGCCCACCGCGCGCCCATGTGCTGGGTGCGCCCGCTGATTTCCTGGGATCCTCATGCGTGCCCCAAGGAGAGGTGCTGCTCTGATCCCCATTTTACTGGTGAGGAAACTGAGGCTCAGCCGCCCACCCGGGGTCCCACGGCTAGCAACCAGGGCAGCCAGAGTGAACAGCCAATCGGGCTCCAGGGTGCGCTTGGTTTCCCGAAGTAAGGGGAGCATGAGTCAGGAGATTTAAGGAGCGTGGCGTGGGGCCTTGGCGTTAACCCACACGGAACCCTGGCTGGTGTGGCTCAGCGGATGGAGTGCCGCCAGCTGACCAAAAGGTGGCAGGTTCGATTCCTGGTCAGGGCACGCGCCTGGGTTGTGGCCCAGGTTCCCCAGAGACAACTGATCAATGTTTCTCTCATGCACTGGAGTTTCTTTCCCTCTCTATGTCCCTCCCTTCTCCTCGCTCTAAAGAGTAAATAAATAAAATCTTAAAAAAAATAGAATAAACCACATGGAACCACCTGTGGAAAAGAGGGTTTTCCTCTCTCCACACTCTGGACACGGCTTTCGAAGATGACCGAGCCAGAGACCCGGGCTGTAGTACGCCCCCGGACTCAGGCCCCTCCTCCTCCGTGGATGAAGGAAGGACCGGCCTCGGGCTCAGGCTTTTGCAGCCAGGCCCGCGTCCAGCCAGCACGCAGCCGCAATCACCGAAATAAGCCCCGTGTCGCTGCGATTTATTCTTTTATTTAAGGCCAGCTGCGCGGGGTTTCCTTACCACCCTGATATCAGAGTCCCACTTTAAAAAACGAATTAAAAAAAAAGTTTGATAGAAAGGATTTCTGAACCTGGGGCCTGTGGATAGAATTTGGCAGGTCCGTGACCTCAGATGGGAAAAATGAGGTGGTTCTGTTCATGGGCCCCCAAGTGAAATTCAGCCTGTCCTCCCTGAGGAACCTGGGCGATGGTCCCCAGCAGGACCGGCGGGACCTGGGACCTTGTCACCCGCGGAGACCACGGGCACTTTCGTAAGCCGTCCCGGCTGCTGCCGGCATCACATACGAGTATCGCCGCTCTGAAAACACGGGGTGGCTCGACCCAGGGCTCCAGCTCACCTTCATGTATTTGTGGATAGTTAATGTTTCCTTACTTACTGACTTCAGAGGGAGACAGGAAGTGGGGAGAGAGAGAGAGAGAGAGACATCGATTTGCTGTTCCACTCATCGATGCTCTCATTGGTTGATTCTTGTCTGTGCCCTGACCGGGGATGGAACCCTCAACCTCGGTGTAAGAGGAGGACACTCTGACCAACTGAGCTACCCGGCCAGGGCTACAGCTTGTTACTTAATGTGTTCATAAAGAGGCTCCTAGCCTTGGCTGGTGTAGCTCAGTAGATTGAGCGCGGGCTGCGAACCAAAATGTCGCAGGTTCGATTCCCAGTCAGGGCACATGCCTGGGTTGCAGGCCACGGCCCCCAGCAACCGCACATTGATGTTTCTCTCTCTCTCCCTCCCTTCCCTCTCTAAAAATAAATAAATAAAAATCTTTAAAAAAAAAGTGGTGAAGAATCTCAGTTGATAAAAGAAAAAGTGATGAGCGAACTTACTTAAAACCGGATGTTTGGCTGGTGTGGCTGCCGACCAGACCAGCGAGCGTCTCACCAGGCCATGACACCCGCCTGAGCCAGGCCCACAGGCTCGTCCCCACTCACACTGCGCGCTGGGACGCAGGGCCTGGCCTCCACCCCACCCCCACGTCAGGCCAGCCTCCCTACGGGCTCACCTTGTCCATCATGGCGAAGATCCGGTCCACCCTCTTCTCGGGGGTGTTCTCCTCCTCCGGGAGCTCCACCGTGTTCCCCTGCCGGGACGGATGCAGTGGGGGCTGGGCTTTGGGGTTGGGCCTCCGGACCTGGGCCGCTTCCAGATGAGGACCCTCCCCCCAGTGCCACCACCGTCTCTGCCGTTCGCTCTGGAACGCCCCACCCACCCACACAGCCCCGCTGTCACCAGCCCCCACCTCCCTCCCAACAAGGAGACGAGCAGGTGACCTGGGCGATGACCCTAGCCCAGCTGACTCCTGCCCCAGGCGGGAGCGCTGCTGTGCCGGGTGGCTCCTGCAGGCCGAGCCCAGCCACCGAGGGGCTGCCCCCCACCCCCCTGCCACCCAGCCGCCCCCGGACCAGTCCTCTCACCACCATCTGGTAAATGGCGTCCACAATGTCCAGCATCTCGTTCCTGGTGATGTAGCCGTCATTGTCCAAGTCATACAGCTTGAAGGCCCCTACGGTCAACCAGCCGGGGCGGAGTCACCCTGGGCCCAGGCGGGGGCGGGGCTCTGCTGCCCGCCTGCTGCCCTCCTGCTGCCCGCCTGCTGCCCGCGGCACCTCGACCTGGGACCCACGGCCCATCACTCATCCAGCCAACGCATATGAACATCGGGACAGACAGGGCCACACACACACACACACACACACGCACGCGCGTGGCCCCTTCAGCTGGGACTACGAGGAAAGAAGCTAAGAGTAAAAAGGAGGGGGCGCCCTGGCCACTGTGGCTCCGTGGGGTGCAGCATCACCCCCTAAACTGTAAGGTTTCGGGTTTGATTCCCAGTCAGGGCACACGCCTGGGTTTCGGGTTCGGTCCCTGTTCCGTGTACGTAGGAAAGGCAGCCAGTCGATGTTTCTCTCCCTCCCTTCCCCTCTCTCTAAGATGAATGGGCATGTCCTCGGGTGGCAATTAAAAAATAATAATAATAAAAATCTAAACATTAAACAAAGGAGGGGCCGTGGAGAGCTGGAGGCCTCCGAGGCTGGAGCTGGGAGGGAGGAGTTGGCCCTGGGTGTCCTGGTGCCGCCCCCCCCCACACCCCCCCGACCCCCACCCCGTGCCCCCAGCCTCGGCCCCGCCCCAGCCTCGGCCCTGCCACTTACCCCGTGTCCCCAGGGCCAACCTAGAGAATAATACACGCCCGGGGGACAGGGGAGCTTTTGCATGAACAAAATCCTTTTATTCGAAGAAGGAGAGGAAGAGGAAGAGAAAGAGAAAGGAGGAGGAAGAGGAGGAGGAGGAGGGGAGATAGAAACCACAGGGCTTCCTGGCCACTGACGCTGACCCCGCGCAGGGCGCTCGTCTGACCAGCCGCTCTCATCTGCTCTCCAGCCCCCCGCCCCTCGTCGTCGCCCCACCCCAGCGTGGGCCGCGTGCCCTCTGCACCCTCCTCTCTCCTTCCTCCTCTGGGCCCTGCCCATGCACTTGGGGGGCCCCCCACCACCTGGAGCCCCTCCCCCTCCCCCCCGCCAGCCCCCCCCTCACCCCGCTCGGCTCTGACTCACTGCGGGGCCGCCCCCCCTCCTGTCGACTCTCGCCTCCCTCTTCCTGTCTCGGTTTCATGGGATTTAAAACACTCACGTCCCCGTGCCAGACTGACAGCCGTGGGAGCAGGTGCCCATCTGGCTGACCCCCGACCCCCGGCCTCTGCCCGGCATGGACACGGGGCCCTTTGGTCGGAATGCGCTGGGTGAACGAGCGAATAAGAGAATAAACGAGGTTGGTCATTAGAACCTCGGCCTCCCGAGTGGGTCCGGCACTGGCCCTGGTCTTCAGCCCTGTGTCCGCCCCTGCCTGGGCATCCCCCAGGTCCCCGCCCCACCTGTCCACCCCACCTGTCCTCCCCACCTAAGTAAGCCACGCTCCTGCCGCAGGCCACCTGCAGGAACCGTCCTCTGACCTGGAAAGGCAGAACGTCTGGGCCACCCCCCAGCCCCGAACAGATGGCCTGGCCCAGCTCTCTGGCCTCCCCCCGGCCGGGCCCGCCTGGCGGCTGCCCCATAAAGCCCAGGGGACCAACTCACACCGCAGCTTCTCGTCCAGCGTCCCCCTCGAGGTCACCGACAGCGCCTGGATGAACTCCGAGAACTCGATCCGACCATCCTGGCAGGAGAGAAGGGGGTGAGGTGGCCTCCGTCAGCCGGGCCACCTGGTCAGGCCGGACCCTGGCAGGTGGCGGCAGTGGCAGCAGCAGGGACCAGACACCCTGGCAGACAGACCCACACGGGGAGGGCGGAGTGCAGGGACAGGAGACGGCACCAGGAAGCGGGGGAGGGGGGGCGTAGGATTAGAAATGGGACAGGTCGGGCAGCAGGGCCAGGGAGAAAGGGTCGCACTGTAGGGAGAACCCAAAGCCACATCTCACGGGAGAGCCAGGGGGCCACCAACACACGCCCCGTCTCTGGGGAGAGCCACCGGCGAGTCCCCTGTCCCCTGGTCTAGAACCACAGGCTCGGGGGCTCTCCTAGAGCACAGGGCTACAGACGGTTTAACCCCACCTAATGTGCTTCGCAAATGAGGAAACCGAGGCCCCAAGAGGGCAGAGCTCTCCCCAGGGCCAGGCAGCAGAGGCACCCCGAGTGCCCCAGAGCAGGGGGTGTGGCAGCAAGGCCTGGTGGACCCACCAGTGCCGTGCACACGCAGGTGCCGGGAAAGGCTGGCGTGGGCCCCGGTCCGGAGGACTGTGGACGCCTCGGGAGCGGACGTGCCGACTGCTGGCATGGCCATCACCGGGAGGGGACACACCACGTCACAGGCAGGCAAGCCTTGAAACCGTGATGCTCAGTGAGAGACGCCGGGCCCAAAACACCCCACACTGCCTGACTCTCAGGACCTCAGTTTCTCATCGGCCGATCGGGGGCATTAAAATGCCGTACCCCTTCCCCGCCAGGTTGTAAGTCCTCACTAAAAATAATCCTCACAAAGGGCTCAGCACACGGTAAATGCTCCGCAAATGTCTGCTCTGGTTATAAATCCTGTTGCTGACCCGGGAGGCATCTGTGTTTGGTGCTAGTAAGAAAGAATCAAGGTATTCATGTGTGTGCATGCGTGCACATGTGCACACGTGTACACATGGTATAGGCGTGCACACATATACTCTGCACGGTGTGTGCACATGTGTGTGGGCTTGTGTGTTGTCTATACGCACATGCATCTGTGTGCACTGCAGCACATGAGTGTTTGTGTGTGTGCATTTGCACGGTGGCGAGTGTGCATGTGTTTGGGTGGGCGTGCATGCATGTTTGTGCAGTGTGCATGTACTTGGGTCTCTGTGTGTGCAGCTGAGTGTGCACATGGCGTGCCCCTCCTCCCGGAGGGAACATCGGCAGGAAGGCGTGGGTGTGCAGACGCTGCCGGAGCCTCGGGAGCGAGCAGGCTGCCGCGGGGGGGGATGGGGGGGAAGGGGGGCGCTCCGCCGGCACAGGCCCCCTCCGGCCCCTGCTCACCTTGTTCTCGTCAAAGACGTTGAACACGAACGTGGCGAATTTGGTGGGGTCTCCAAACGGGAAGAACTGCTTGTAGATCTTCTGGAAGCCCGCCGCGTCCAGCTGCCCGCTGGGGCAGTCCTTGATGAAGCCTTTGTACCTGAGGCGGCAGAGACCCGGCGCGTGAGGGCGAAAGAAAGAGCGGCAGCGCCCGTCACCCGCCTGCCGGGCACTCCTGCCCCGGGCCCCGAGGGCTGTGGGCCCCCGTCCAAGGAGACGGTGACGCACGGGGTCCTGCACACAGACCTGGACGTCACGGGCACGGGCTCATCCCACCTCTGCCTCTCGCCAGCTGTGTGACCCGGGGCAGGTGACCGTACCTCTCTGAGCCTCATGTGTACGAGGGGTGACAGTGCCATGAAAATCAGCCCAGAGGGTGTGCACAGAGCAGGTGGCCGCTGAGCTCCACAGAGGGGGCCGAAACCAAGCCCACAACCACGTCCCTGAAGCCACGCTCTCGCACAAAGCAGTTCTGCCCTGGCCCCGCCCCCCCGTACTTTCTCCCCTGGGCCACCTCCCCCCCGGCCCCGGCCCACAGAGCCAGGGGGCTGGAGACGCGGGCAGTGGGGGGCGGACAGAGCCACCATATGGGGCCGGCAGCTGGCTCCTCCCACACGCCTGCACCCCGACATGCACCGCCCTGGCCTCTGCTCCCCAGCACTGTCTGGCTGACACTGGAGCGGCCGCGTGAGCTGGGAGGGAGCCTGGTGTGTCCCGAGCGGACTCGCCCACCGAGTATTCCCAGCGCTGAGCAGCCCAGAAACCCCCCCACAATGCCCAGGCGGTGGCCACAGGGCCTTGCAGCCCGAATCCCAGGTCTGCCTCGTGTGAGCTGTGCCACCTCGGGCAAGTGTCCTCACCCCTCTGAGCCCTCGTCTCCTCGTCCATAAACAGGGCCGGCTCTCATACCCTTCGGCACAATCGGGATGGCGCGTGCAGCACACCTGCCTTAAAGAACCATCAACATGGCCCTGGCTGGCGTAGCTCAGTGGATTGAGCGCGGGCTGCGAACCAAAGTGTCGCAGGTTCAGTTCCCAGTCAGGGCACATGCCTGGGTTGTGGGGGCCACATGAGAGGCAACCACACACTGATGTGTCTCTCTCTCTCTCTTTCTCCCTCCTTTCTCTCTCTAAAAATAAATAAATACATTCTTTAAAAAAAAAAACAAAAAACCATCCGCAGCAGGGTCTCTGGTTTTATGCACTTAAGGGACATGCGTCCCTCTCAGGGGGACCAGCTACCACCAGCTACGGCGATCGCCTCCCTGGGTGTCACCCTGTGCCAGCGACTCTGAGACCTGCGGTCTCCTAGAATAATGTCCTACCGGCCCGTGGGCCAGGGGCCCCGATGCAGCCCGCTGTGAGGACGAGGAAACCGAGGCTCAGAGGGGGCGAATATGAGGCCGCGCCGCCCAGACCGGGGCTGAGCGAGGGTCAAAGGTGACGAGCCAGATGCCCAGAGACACCGGATCGCTGAAGACCTCCACACCTGCCCACGGCTCTCTGCTGCCACCGAGCCCCGCGCGGAGGTCCCTCTCTCCCCTCTCACGAGCAAGGGGAGGGTCCTGGGGGCATTGCCCTTGAGGCTGCTGGCGGCACCATGACTGGGGTCCACAGACTGAGGAAGCTGTGGGGCAGCCACGGCCCCCCGGCCTATTTATTAGAGGACAATCTAGGGGCCTGGGGTGGGCACTGGTCACACAAGGGTCCGAAGGGGCATGCAGGGCACAGGAGGAGCCTCGGGACCGCAGCCCAAGCCACGGAGGTCAGATGTCGGGCTGACGCGTCAGCTGCTGCGCAGGGGTGAGGGGGGCTGGGGCGAGGGAGAGGCTGGGAGCAGAGCAGAGCTGGGGGCGGGGGGTGGGGCATCCTTCCCGGGGCCCAGCTGCAGCGGGCACAGCGCTGTCCCCACGGTGCCCAGGGCAACTGTGCGGTCGTGCAAGAGGCCGAGTCTGCCCGCCGGTCCTCCTGTGGGACCCCTCGAGGGGCCAGAGGCCCAGGCAGGCAGTGCCGCCTCCAGAACCAGGGTCACCGACAGCTCTCGCCCTGGTGACCGCAGCCTCAGGCCGGCACCAGGCTACGCCGTGGCGCGTGGTCCCTTGTGCAGCTGCCTCCTCAGCCCCGGGCCGTGGGGGTCGGCGATCCTGCGCCCTGGGTGAAGGCACCGAGGCACGGCCGGCGGGAAGGGACGGCCCCCCCGTGTCCCCCCCCTCACAGCCTTCTTTCCAGCTGCGCGTTCAGGGCTAGGGTCTGCACACCTGGGTCAGGCCGCAGAGCTGGGAGAGAGAGCGATTTGGGGACCAGATCTGATCCAGGACCCGGGGCCTCCAGGCCAGGAGGGGCTCCTGGGAAGGAGGAGGGGACCAGTCTGGCCCCAGGCCTGGACGAGCCATTTGGGGGGCACCTTCTCCTGTCCCCACACGGCTCCGGATGCCAGGCTAGGGGCCGTTTCTCCCACGCTCCCCACCCCCAGCTCCTCATCTCCCCAAGACAGATGTGTGCTACTGAGTGGTTCTAGAAGATCATTTGAAACAATAAAGAGAAAACAAAAAGCTCCCAGAGGCGTCCCCTGTCTTTCCTGGGAAGGGGAGCTTCCCACCAGCGCTGCGCGCAGCTGTGGCGGGGCGGGGGGGTCCCTAGAGCGTCAGCGGGTGTGGGCAGGCGCAGGGAGGCGGCCCCCAGGAAGGAGTCTTCAGGGGGTGCCTTCTGGGTATCCCTGCAGAGGCTGTCACTGTCACTGTGGGGCCCCAGGCCCCTCCAGTGACATTAGTAGGGGCCCCAGGAAGCCCACCCCCATGGGAAATGCCCATTAGGGGTGACCCCAGCCTCTTCTTGCCGACCGTTCCCATGTTCCACACCCAGCCGCACTTTCTAGAACTGGCCATGCGGCGGCCAGCCCCCAGACCTTTGTGCCTGCAGAACACACCTGCTCCTCGGGCTCATCCACTCAGCCACCATGTCCCAGCTTAGATGTCGCTTCCTCCAGGAAGGCATCCCAGACTGCCCAGGGGCCACGTGGCTCCTCCACTCCCACGCCCCTGGCACGTGCCCAGCAGAGGACACACACCGCACCTCCAGGCCACATCCCCCGCCTGAACTGGAGATCTCTGACTCGGCGTTGCCCCGACGCCGGGGTGGGGGCTGGCACACAACAGCGGCTTAGCGAGCATCCAGGGAGACAGGCCAACGGGATGGTCGGATGAGTGAACGGACGGATGAACACACACATGGCCAGTCAGAGAACTCGAGGGCCTGGGGGCGCTGCGTCTTCTTCCTGAGCCCCGGGGTCCCCAGCCAGAACGAGACCTCCCTGAGGGTGGTCTGACAACCATGGATGGGCTCCCCACTCCCTGGACGGAGTGGGAGCTGGGGGCCCAGAGAGGGAGACGGGCTGGCCCAAGGTCACAGAGCAAGCTTTCGCAGCGGAAACAGGGCGCAGACCCCGGGCTCCTGCCTCCCGGGCTCACATGCCGCCTGCCCCTCTGGGAGCCGGGCTGCACCACCCCGGCACCAATACACAGGTGAAGGGCCTGTCACCCCGACATTGCACAGCCCCACTCACTGCTCCCCATCAGAAGTGGGGACACCCTGCCTCGCCGGAGCAGGCAGGGGGTGGTCTGAGCTATTCCAGACACCCCAGTGCCCCTGGAGCCCCACCACGCCCTGCAAGCCGTCACAGCTCTGAGGCCAGCTTCCCGTGCCCTCGAGGTCCGGTCTGGGGTGCGGCCCATCCCCCATCTGCTGGCTGAGTCAGGACACCCCCACCGGGCACTCACCCCGCTGTGGGCACGGAGGGAGTTGCTGCCTCAGAATGAAGTCCACGCCCAGAAATTTCCTCCCGGGCCGGGCCCAGGCCTCAGGTTCTGACAGGCCCTGGCCTCCTCCCTCTGCCCCCGCCGGCCCCGCCCTCCCTCCCTCAGACCCGGGGAACCCCCTCCCCTGCCCGGGCGCCCAGGAGGCTCCGGCCTGTGCTCCCATCCTGGTCCTGTCCCTTCTCGTGTCCCTCAGCCCCCGCTGCCCCCAGCGCCCAGCATTGGCCTGGCACATAGTAGGTGCTCAGTAAAGATGTACCGAACAAACGAACCAACAAACGAAAGGATGAATGAATGCACCAATGAACGACAGTGAGTGAATGAATGAATGAATGAACACTCGCCGTGACACACGGGTCTAATTGCAGCTCCATGTCTCATTCTCCGAGACCCCGAGGAAGCCCCAGAGCTGCCGGGGTCCCGCTTCCCCAAAGGCCCGGCCGGCTAGGAGCTTCCAGAACTCGCCACCCTGCCCCCACGAACGCTGCTCTCTGGGACCCAGCTCTCGCTGAGCCCGCCCCACCCCGCCCTGCACGCCCATCGCCCTCCGCACCGAGGGTCCCGCCTGGCAGCAGCTGCTCCCCGAGGCATGAGCCGTGCAAACTGAATAGACAGGCGAGCGAATCGGAAGCCGAACCCCAGCTGCAAGCAGCCAGACGCAGCTGGGCCAGCAGCACCGCGGCCTTGGGACTGCTGTATCGTCTTTTCAAACGACTCCCTTCCCCCGGCAGTGCCCCCAGAGCTCCCTGGGGCCTTCTTGGTGGAGGAGGGTCCCACACACACCCCAGAGGATCATGCTGCCTCCTTTCTCCTCTCCCCACCCCCACCCCCACCCCCTGCCTTTGCCTTTGTGGGGCTTCCCAGAGCAAGCGCCCGCCCACCTGAGGCCCCACAGCCTGTGCTGTGGCAGGGGACCGAATTGGACCCCCCCCCCACACACACAGAGCTGAGCTGTATGCCCTGGGCCAGTGTCTCTGCCCCCCTGAGCCTCAGTTTCTTCATCTGTAAAATGGGGCTGCCCCTAGACTTTCCTGGCGGCATTGGTCTAAGTGTTAGCACAGGGCCTCGCCCACACAGGGGGTGCCCGTGGATGAGGAGAGGCTGCGCCTCACACGGGCTGGGGCCGCGGGGGCCGGTCCCCATGGACAGCCGGTCCAGCTCAGGCAGCTGCAGGACGCCTCCTGCCCCACTGCTATTTCCGTGACAGTCCTGCAGGGTTATTGGGTTACTCCAAAAGCAATAATTGCATTACAGAAAAATTGGACACGAGAAAACTTCAGAGAAAAAAACTACCCATCGGCCACAACACCACAGCCCCAGCACACCCACAGCCTCGGGCCGGTTCCCTGCCATCCTTCCCCCCTGCGACCTCGCCACGGCATGGTGTTACGGGTACTATTTGTGCCCTGTGGGTTCCGCCGGGATCCTGTCCTCTTTGTTCCCCAGGCGATGACGATGTTCAGGGTCACCTTTAAGGACCTGGGACCTGCCCCAATCAGCCCCCACGCGGTTCCTGATCTCCCAGTGGGATGACTCGGGCCCCGGGTGGGAACTGTCACGCTCGAGAGCAAGGTGGGTGGGGGCCCAGGCTGGCCTCAGACCCGACACCGGCCCCCCTTCTCCAAGCCTGCAGCCTCCACCCCCCCCCCCCCGAATGCAGACACCCTCGCCAGCAGCCCACAGCTGGAGCCGCCGGGAGGCGGCTGCGTGACACCCAGCGGGCGCCGGTCCAGGTGGCACGCCGCCATGACCTGGCCCGAGCTCTCCTGGGGGACCTGGGACCCGACCGGCACGGAGCCTGAGCTCTCGTCCCAGCTCTGCGCCTGCTTCCTGCGTGGTCCTGAGACCAAGTCACAGAATCCCGTGACTCTCCTTTTAACGGCCACTGAAAGTCGGCACCACACAGGACGGTCCCGTCTCTCGGCGGGGAAACGGGCCCCGGGTGGTCAGGGCAGACCGCTCCGAGGAGGGGGGACACGGGAGTGGAGATCCAAGGTCTGGGGACCCAGGGCGCCGCAGAGGGGAGAGCCAGGCTGAGGCTCTGCGGTGGGAACGGGCTCAGCCTGGTGGGGGTACCGGTGAGCGGGGGAGGGGCGCAGCCGCAGAACTAGGGAGCCCTGAGGGCCGCTGTCGAGCCCATGAAGGGGCACTGGCTGGGGCCTCACGAGCCAGGGTCCAGCAGTCGGGAGGCAGGGGCTGCTCCATCTGTCTCCTGTGCAAAGGACGAGGGGCCAGTGGGCTGCGTGGATCCGGCCCTGGACCCCACGGGCTCGTGGGACAGTCCCGGTGAACCTGTGAGGTTTAGGCCAAAGGAGGGATGACGAAAGGGCCCATTGTGCAGGCTAGTGGCAATTGTCCTGGCCATCTGGGTCGCTGCAGGAGGCTGATCCAGAGCGCTGTGCTCCGTGATCCATTACCCATGTCTGCCCGGGCACAGGGGAGGACAGTGGTGGTCTGAGCTTCGTTGCTCAGCCACCCCTGGTCCAGCGTCCCCCAGGGGATGCGGCCTTTCTGGAACACAACAGCGAGGTGGGAGGTGGGCTGACCGGGGTGGGGGGCCAGAGGAAGGCACTGGTCCAGCTCCCTCCTCGCCTCCAAGGCACCACCAAAATGAGCCAAAGGACACCTATTTGAGGTCCATGGAACTTTCTGGCAAATAAAAGATCATTTCTTTTGGTAAGTTCTTTAGAGAGAGCTCCCCTAGGACAGGACTGGGTGTCACAGGCCTAGGGTCCCAGCTTTACTGCGGGGGCCTCAGCAACTGCTCCCAACGGGCCCACCTCCGCGACCTCCCTGCTGGTCCCCAGACACACCAGGCCTGTTCCCACCGCTGGGCCCCTGGGCCTCGGTTTCCCCATCTGCATAATGAGGGGGGACCTCAGTCTCAGAGCTGCCCCCCGGGTCACACTGACGATGACACCAGTGTGGTTACCGCTGCTGTTTTAACCAGAGCGACAGAGAGAGGGCTGGTGGGCTCCGTTCTGCACACCTCACGTCAGTGGACTCACCCACTCCTCACGACACTCCCTTACAGCTTGCCTGCCATCACCCCACTTTCCAGGTGGAGAGACTGAGGCGCTGAGAAGTTTGGTAACTTGTCCACGGTCACTCCGCCAGGATGCGGGAAGGCGGGACTCCAGCCCAGCACCCCAACTCTGGGGCCCACCTGGCTGCTTCGCCTCCTCCTGCCTGTCCAGGGGGAGGCCCAGGGGAGAACACGGGGCTCAGGTGAGCCCCCCACCTCCGGGGACTCAGAGGCCTCGCCTACGGTCACCTCGCCTCCACCTGCCGTGGAGGGGCATGTCTCTGGGCCTCTGTTCCCCTTCCGAAGCGAGGACAGAAGACCACTGGCGATGGCCGTCATCTCTCAGGCACTGCATTGTGACCTGTGTGGGAAAGGTCTCCCCAACACGCCATCATTCCTGTCGTACTGGACCCTCCGCAGCCCCTCGGCCGGGAAAGGCGAAGCCGGGCTCTAGAGCTCATTCGCGGACCACCGAACTGTCCCAGGAGGTCTGCGAGCTCAGCGAGGTCAGCTCCTTGCTCCTCTCACCGTGCGCCCAGCTCAGGCTCGCCCGGGCTGCTCCGCCTCCCACAGTGACAGCTGACACGCCGCTCTCCTGGCCCGGCCCAGCCCGGGCAGGCATCACTAATCCATCACAGACCTCGTTCATCCCTCACGGCTCGACTCTGCATCTGCGCCAGGACCTACAGCCTCAGTGACACGGCGGTCGCCTGCCATCCTCGACCCGGTCTAACTGACCACGTTACAGAGGGGACAGCTGAAGCCCAGAAAGGGGGAGAGACTTCTCGAGGCCACAGGACGATGCAGTGACAAAGCCGGACTTGGGACCCTATGTCCTTATTTGTTACTGGTCCAAATCTCCCCCCCGCCCTTTGGTGAGCAGAGCCTGAATTAACCGTCAGGGCCTGGTGATCCTTACAGAGGTCACGCAGGCAAGGAGGCAGCAACACCTGCCCCCCACCCACCCCCCGAGCTGAGGTCGATCTATACCAGCCCGTCCTCGGAGCAGAGGCTGCCGGGACTGGTGGGTGGGTGAGCCATTCTCAGAGACCGCCCTCCCCATGCCCCTGTCCTGGGCCTCGGGGCCGCTGTCCCCCCAGCACAAAGCCCACAGCCCCGACCCGCACAGCACTGTGGGGGGAGAGCAGCTACTCACCACTGCTGGACTTCTTTCTCCGTAACTGCAAGAGAAAACAGAAAAGTGGCCTTTTAGTTCGGGGAGGTGTCCCAGGGGAGGGGCAGACACGGGGGGGGGGCCTCCTTCCTGCCCCCCCACCCCCACCCCCGCCCCCCAGCCTGCCTGTCTGCCTGTGTTGGGACACCAGGTGGCTCTGGACAGTCCCAGTCAGGACCTCTGTGTCCGGACACCCACAGGGGACAGCGCTGGCCCATCCCCTCCCGATGCCCACTGTGCTGCCGGCAGGACTGCCCAGCACAGCCGCCTGCACGCAGGGCTGGCTTCCCCTGCCCGCCTGCGGTGGGCAGGCGGCACTGCTGTGCCTTGGGGTGGGCGTTTAATACACATTCTTCCCATCTCTCAGCCCGGGCACAGCACAGGCAGGCGAGGTGCTGGGGTCCCCAGGCACACGGTGGCCCAGCCTGCCCATGGGGGGCCAGCAGAAAGGCTGAGCCCCTCCCCGGCCCCACAGCGCCCAGCAACCCCCCCACCTCGGCCCATCTCTCAGGCCCTCGCAGTGGCCAGTTCCAAGCTCTCTCACAAGCAAGACGAGAACTGAGACATGAGCCAAAAGCTGGAACAAGCCAAATAAAGTGGCCGAGCCTCCGGCCAGGCCCAGACAGTCACTCTTCACCGAACCAGGACATGAACAAACGCTTTTCTCTGAAAAGTACTGAAGTGGTTCGCGTTGGAACCAAACCAACGTTCTCTCTGAAGTCGCTGAAGGAGAAGGTCTAACCCCTGCCAAGGACACGCTCACTTCCTGCAGGGGTGCCCGCGGGCGGGCGCCTCCAGCTCCCGTGCCTCAGTTTCCTCGTTCGTAAAGCGGGAACAAGAGTGACAGTCCCCGCCGCAGGGGCTGTCCTGAGAATTCAGCTAAAACCGGTGTGGAAGCTCCCGGATCCCAGCATGCAGCCTGGCACTTGCACGTGCTCCGTAGAGCCTCGTGGAATGAGTGCGTGATCGAATGAACACACGAATGAACGAATCAATGAATGAATGAATGAGTGAGTGAGTGAATGAATGAGTGAGTGAATGAATGAGTGAGTGAATGAATGAGTGAGTGAATGAATGAGTGAGTGAGTGAATGAATGAGTGAGTGAGTGAATGAATGAGTGAGTGAGTGAATGAATGAGTGTGTGAGTGAATGAACGATTCAATGAATGAATGTGTGAGTGAATGAATGCGTGAGTGAATGAATGAATGCGTGAGTGAATGAATGAATGTGTGAGTGAATGAATGAATGTGAGTGAATGAACGATTCAATGAATGAATGAATGTGTGAGTGAATGAATGAATGTGAGTGAATGAATGAATGTGAGTGAATGAACGATTCAATGAATGAATGAATGTGTGAGTGAATGAATGCGTGAGTGAGTGAACGAATGCGTGAGTGAGTGAACGAATGCGTGAGTGAGTGAACGAATGCGTGAGTGAGTGGATGAATGCGTGAGTGGATGAATGCGTGAGTGGATGAATGCGTGAGTGGATGAATGTTGACTGAACAAATGACTGCATGAATGAACAAATAATGAAAGCACTAATGAGCAAATCTGCTAATGAATGAACAAATGAATGCATGATACATGCGTAAATGAATATATACATGAACAGATGGATGAATGTGTAAACAAAAGAACACATGAACAAATGAGTGAGTGAATGCGTGGGTGAGTGAATGAATGGGTGAGTGAGTGAATGAATGTTGACTGAACAAATGACTGCATGAATGAACAAATGAATGCATGAATGAACAGATGGCTGCATGAATGAACAAATGACTGCATGACTGAACAAATGACTGCATGGCTGAACAGATGGATGCATGAATGAATGTGTGAGTGAGTGAATGTATAAATGCATGAGTGCATGAATGCATGCAAGGACAAGCAAATGGGAAGGCAGGTGTTCGGTGGAGGTCAGGTGAGTGAAGAAGCCGGGAGGGGAGAGAGGCCCTGGGGGTGTCCCTGAACCGTTCGTGTCTGATTAGACTTGAGGCCCCTTTTCAAAAACGGCTTCAAGCCAGCTTTTGACGAGGGCCAAGGACCAGGCGCCCACCGCGAGCCCGGATCACCGGATCCCTGCCAGCGCGCCGGGGCCTCTGTACTTGGACGCGGTGGCCCTGACAACAGCTCTGAGGGAGGACAGCATTACTCCGTCCTGGTTCCGAATGGGGAAACTGAGGCACAAAGGGGTCAGCCCGTGAAGTGGTAGGGAGAGGGTCTGCAGTCAGCCTCCACCGGCACACTGCACTGGCGCCCCCTCCCCAGGCCCGGCCAGACACGGAGGAAGAGGCCTGCCCGCCAGCGGCCGATGACCGGAGGAGAGCGAGGCTGCGACGGGAGGTGCTGGCTGCCGGGGACAGGCAGACCTGGGGTGAAAAACCGCAACTTTCAAGAGTTTTGACTCCTGAAAAGAGAGTAGGGATTGGGGAGGGGGTCAGTGACACGGACAGAGAGGGAAGGTGTCCCTGGTCTAACGGGGCTGCGCTGGCCTGGACCCGCCGCCTGCTCCTGGCAGTGGAGGGCGGCAGGGCCGAGTGTTGAGGGGGTGAGGCTCCAGGACCGAACCTGGAGACCGAGGAGACGCATCGTGGCCCAGACAGGAGCTTCGGGGCATGGACGCTGGAGCTCAACTAGACCCCCCGGGTTCAAATCCAGCTCCACACAGCTTACGAGCTGTGTGTCCCCGGGCAAAGTGTGTCTCCTCTCTGAGCCTCAGTTTCCTCATCTGTAGAACGGGCTTACTGTGAAGAGGCAAGTGCCTGGTGCTCTTGACCTGCACAAAAATCCCGTGCGTGGGTGTGATCCCGTTTTCCCGATGCGGACACTGAGGTTCAGACGGGTCGACTAATTCGCGAGGTCGCCCGAGGTCGCCCTGCCAGGAAACGGCAGGGCCGGGACTCAGCCTCCAGAGCCCAGCACAGATGCCCAGTGAAGTGCCCCCTGCCCCTTGAGTCATCCGGTGACTTTCGGGACCTTGTGTGGCCTTGGTGTCACGTGGCGTAAAGAGTAGGAGCTGGGTGACCAGAGCTCAGGTGGCGGGGCCACAGGGGGCCAGAGGAGCCTTCCCAGAAATCTCCCAGATCACAAGTGCTCCCCGCTCCCTGAGCGGGTCCAGACCCCCTGCAGCTTCCCCCTGGGGCCCCTCAGCCTGCAGCCTCCCCAAGCCCCCAGGAAGCAGCTGGGCTGGCTGCCCCTCCCCCATCAGACCGGGTCCCAACACAGAACACAGGGCGGATGGATGGACAGCCGGCGGCCAGGCTCCAAGGGATGGAGCCTCGGGTGGGGGAGACGAGCCCGACATGATGCTTTAAGCAGCTAATTAACCTTTCGAAAACAGATGAGTCTGTCAGCTGTCCCGGCACCAAGCCAGGGCCAGCAGCTCTCCCCGGCTCCCCCACCTGGAGTCCGGGAGAGTCCCGGAAGGCGGCAGGGGGTGGGCGGAAGGCGGCAGGGGGTGGGCGGCAGGCAGCATCCTGAGGGCCTGGCCACCTGTCCCACCACCTCCAGGATCAGACAGGCCTGCGTCCACGTCCCAGCCTCCCGCTCGCCAGCTCCCATCCCAACCTGGAGCCGAACAGGGGCCCTCACTGTTCCTGCAGGTGAGGAAGTGAGTGAACCAGGGCAGCCGCCCGGGGCAGGACCCGAGGCCACGGCCAGCAGGAGGCGCTGCAGGACCTCTGCCTGGGTCAGCCTCACGCAGAGCCCGGCGTTCTCACCAGCACCCAGTCCTGCTATTCCCACAGCACCTCCCGGATTCTCCCCTGCTCTTCCCCTCCTGTCTGACGACTCCCTGGCAAGTTTCTTCCTACCCACCTGCCTGATCTAGCTTCAGTCTGAGCAATAACACCCATACAGTTACCAGTGACCTGTGCTGGTCCTAGCCTTTTCTAAACACCGTAAAGATGAACGGTTAAGAGAGGACCGGCTTTGATGGAACCCGGCCTCCCCGTCGTAAAACGCCCTGATGTGTGCCCTCGGTTTGAGCTGTCTGCGGAGCTCTCCTGCCGGAACGGTTTAACCTGGGTCTCATACGAGGACGCAAGCGCGCAAACCCTGCTGTGCCACACACACACGGGTGCCCTGGAAGGTCACATGAGGCCTGGGGGCTGTTCCGGAAAGAGACCAGCGTGGCGAGGCACCCACAGCAGCTCGCGAGGCCTGGACCAGGTCCCGGATCTGGAATTCAGACCCGCGGGAGGGGCCTGGCCGGGCTGGCGGGGGGTGCGGGGGGGGGGGGCCGGTGAGCCGCACCATGGGCGGGGGCGGTTCGACGCCCCGACGGGACGGGCTGACGATTTTCCCGGGCGAGCTCACACCAGAGAAGCTGAGTGAGAAAACGCCCCACTTCCTTGGAGATGTCCCCAGAGTCTGGAGGGGGGAGGGTCAGGACGCCCGCTGCCCCTCGCGGCAGGCGCAGAAACGCACGAGCGGGCGAGCGCATCTTTAGAAAGAGGAAGCCAAAGTGCGGGGAACGATGTTCCCCAATCAGGATCCAGTGACGTCACAGTAAACCCATCGTCAGCCAAAGGCGTGACAAGTTGCAGAATGCGTTTCGTGACCGTGTGGCCCACCGGGCCGAGGCTCGCCGCCCGGTCCAGCATCGCCCGAGGGCGTCGTGTCGGGGGTCGCCAGCCCAGGCACAGGGCGAGATTCAGAACGTGACATCGGCGTCTGCTACCGAACGTGGGTCACGCCCCCGCCGCTGTGGGAAAACCGGGAGTCACACCGTCGGAGGTTGGGGGCCGTCTGCTGGTGAAGGACACGCGGGTGCTCGCCGCGTTGTTATGGCGATGTCCCTCTTGACTTTGCACAATGAAAAGCTGGGGAGAAATGTTTGTTCTCATCGGCCCAGCCCCGGGGGACCGGGTCCTGCGCCCTGAGCAGCTCTGACCACCACAGACACTGCGAGGGATGAACAACCTAGGGTGCAATTTTTGGGGTCCCTCTGCCTGTCCTCTCTGCCCAGATAACCAGAGGGACATTCCGAGGCGCAGGCTCC